TCTTATTTTGGATTGTTATTTGTACTATATTAGGGTGTGTTTGTTTGTAAAATGATTCATGTTTTAAACTATTTCATATTTCTTTTAAGAAAAAGGTTCTTTTTATGTGGGCTACTTAAGAAAGGAAGAAATATTTAGACCTCTCATTTGAGTTCTTTATCTTCTGAACATCTAGGGTGATATCTATAAATTTAACTTTAGCACACATTCTGTTACATACATCCTCTTTTAATGGCATCTATGTCCTTTCTATTTCATAATTTGACTCAGTGGTTCAAAATGAAAACTCAGACTACTCTGCATGTACATCGTGAGTCACTCTGCCTTTTGTTATTTTGTGGTAACACACAAAATCATACTCCTAAATTTTCTATAATTGAATTGATCAAAAGGAAGGATAAGACTGCTCCTAAAGAGGTTTATTATAGATATAAGGAGAGCATAGTCAGAGGCATGGGCATCTGGGAAAGTCCAGAGTGGACATGACTCTGAACCATGTGAGGAGAGAGGGGGAGGGTGAAGGAGAAGGAAGAGAGGGAAACCAAATCCAGCAGCCAGTAGGCCCAAAGAGAACAGGTAACCAAAACATTGGATTGTATAGAGAAGGGCAGCTAGGGGTAGGGCAGTCTAGCTTCTGGGATGGAGAGTTCAGGTTAGAGGGCAAAGGCCAGGGTATGCCACCCATATCCTGTAACAGATGGGGACAGAGGGATGATGGGAGAATCTGGCAGTCTAATTACTATGCTATGTTAAATAGGCACCTCAGCCATTTGTCCCAGAGTTTGAGACTTAACTATAGCATGTGAAAATAGCCATAAAAGGTGAAGTTTACCCTTCCTCTGAATAAATGTTTTCTTCTGATGTTTGGTATATGGATAAATACACCTAATGGTGAAGCCATTTTCCTAAACATATTGCTATCCTATGCAAGCTATATTCTTTTTAACTATGTGCCTTTGATTTCCTAATCACTGAACAATTTCTGGTTTTGCAATAAAGATGGCAATTTGATCACTGACATTATATTTGATGGGCTGACTTAACCAAGGACAGGCAGATTAAAACATGTGGACTTCATTCGGATTCAGATTCCAGTTCCTATTTTGTCCACCCAGAGAATTGCTTATTATAATACTGAAACAGAATCATTGATTTCACCAGGAAAATTCTCAGATCTCATTTCTCTCACATTGCCACAGAATCTGTATCCATGGGAACTACAATCCCTAGCATCAAAATGAGATGCCAAAGATGATAAGACTGTTTGGGTAAGTAGAAAGGCTGAAGAAATGATTCTGGTGGAAATTAAACTAAAACTTTAAAGTCCTGATGAATATGTTAGTCTATTTACATATAGGATAGCCTACTAGGAAGAAAGGTTAGGGAGATAGATTACTGGGACATGATATTTGACAAAGAGCAGTAACTGTAGTTTGCTTAGATGTGACAGCTTGTCTTTGACATCTAGTAGATTATTGTAGCCAGTTAAGAGGATACTGAATTCAGGGTTAGGTTAGATCACCTATGAAGTGAGATGCTGTGTGTATGTGTGTGTGTGTGTGTGTGTGTGTGTGTGTGTGTGTGTGTGTGTGCGTGTGTTGGTGAACATTAATATGTGTGAATGGCCGTGGACTCCAGATGTCAACATCGTGGACTCCAGATGTCAACATTTGTTATCTTTCTCAATCTCCACCTTACTTTTTTGAGACAGAGACTTTGATTGAACCTGGAGTTTGCACATTTGGCTGGACTGGCTGGCCACAGAGCCCCAGAGACTGGAATGATAACAGTATCCCAATACCTGGCTTTTCACATGGGTATAGGTAATCAGAAGCCAGAGACCATGTTGGCATATCAAGTACTTCCTGAATCATCTCCCCAGTCCCCAAAGTGAAGATTTAAGAACCCAGTATCATCTTTCCCATTGTCAAAGCTTAATTCTTTTAGCAACTTGTTATTGAATCTGGGGAACATTATTGTTAAGAGACTTAAATGTCCCAATGGGAACTGAATTACATATCCACACTTTTAGTTTTTCCATTTTTAATAAGTTGAAAAGAAATTAGTCTGCAATGAAAGGTTACAAGAACAAACCTCTGTGTTCAGTTGCAAGTTCCTTATCCTGTGGGAGGAAAAGACTCATGAGGAGCATTTGTGTTATATTGATGTTAAGAGATTTCCCAATCTCAGATGGAATATGAAAATATTAAGACTATAATGTATCTTCTAGCACATTCAGAGGTTAGACTCAAATAATAAGAGAAACAGAAAAGCATGATTGACAATAATGAACTTGAAATATATTTTCTCAATTTACTCAAAACTTTCTAAAAATTTTAATAGAAAGAAATAATATAACTTAACACTTTATTAAAATATGAAATCTATATTTATTAACTTTTGTATTTGATGACCTCATGAGTATTTTCTGAGTTATTCTTAATCTAGACTACTTTAAATTTAACATCATACTTGTGACAATATAGGTGGTGAAGAATAGAGATGTCCTCATAGATAGTATAAAACTTCTATTCAAGATCATTTCTCTGAGTGAACTGAAATTCATTTGGCTAGAAGGGACATGTGAGTATTCACTAGCAAAATCAAGCAAATGTGATGTGATAGATACCAAGTTATTAAGTTATTACTCCCATTAAAAATGTTGCAGCATTTCCCTACAGATAAAGATGCCGCCATACAAATAATAGAATACTTATTGTTCAAACTTATCTAATTGTGCTGTATAATGTTAAATTTGCAAGTATGTTTCTATCATTTTCTTCTGTAAATGTTTGCATTGACCATTGCTTGAATCCAACTAATACACTGTCACTGCAGGTGTTTCTCAGGTAGACAGATGTCCTTCTCAGTTTATTCCTTTTGTTTTTATTACACCTTTGATTGCTTCAGAAAATGTACTCCCTGGGCATTCACCAAGTCAAAAATTTTATTGTTTTGTTTAATTATAGCTATTTATTTTGAGCTTAGCTGGAACACTGCACCAAAGTGAAGACCTTGGTTGTTTCTCCTTTTGGATAAAAATATCTAGAATTTGTATCATTTAAAATTATTTCTTTTATCATTGTTTTCTTCTAATAAATCGTGCTAAATTCTAATATGCAGAAGGATGACATGGGGGCCAAAGGAACAGTGGATTTTGCAAAGAAGGTGTATGATTCTGGCCTATGTAAGGTCAAGACCTAGTATATAAAGCTAATGATGTGGTATTTTTTGTTTGTATGTTTTTGAGAAAATGATTGTTCCCAAAATTATAAATCTGCATTGTACCCAAGAGAAGTCTATGCTAAAATTGCTCTCCACTGAGTACAGAAGACTATGGTAGCATTTCAATAATAGAGGCTATTTGTCTCAATTGTGCCTGCATTGCCTAGAAGACCAAATCCTCTTCTTTCTGCTTCTCATCATGAGTGTACACTTTGTCCAGAATAATTATTATGTGCAAATTCTTAGGGCAAGATGAGGGGAAAAAATGAATGGACTTCCCCTCATTCATACTAAGTTTTATAGAGATCTCAGGCAACCAACCCAGTCATTTAGAATCATAAAATAATTCAATGTATTAAAAGAGTTAATATGTGCCTCAATAGCACACATCTGCCAGACCTTTTCTTTCTTTCTTTTTTTTTTCAAGAGAACACACAATGAATTCCCAGCTTTTACAATTCCTTTTGCTTCGTGTACAAATGGCCCTCCTAATACCAACTTACATTTCAAATAAAAATATTGATTGATAAATTGAAAGTGGCAAAATGCCTCTTCAAAGACAGTGTTTTAAATGTGAAGAGCTTTAAATGTAGAAGAATTCTCACATAAAAAATGGAGTAAGTGGAGAAACAATATTTTGAGTATGAAATTAAAGCTTCACTCCTCCAACACAGCTTATATACAGCCCTGTTTGAGTGAAGAGAGGAAAATAAAATGGAGGAGGAAGTGATGGAAAAACAAAGGGCTTTCACTGTTTCGTACCATACTCTCAGAATACTACATACTCCATCATATATTCAGCTGTAGATAACCATAGTCAATGGATATAACCACAGTGAAATTCATTTAGAGGTGGCTGTTAAAAATCACTCCAAACTCATTGTCATTAATTCAGCTTCATTGTTGGGTGGTAGATTTCATTCAGTGCCAAAGGCTTTGCAAAAATGGTCTTTCATTTTAGTCACAATTGCAAATGGATTCAAAGATATTTTATAATCATGCAAAATTCCTTCTGTGTCCTCTGTCTTAGATTTGCTCTGCACTATAAGTCAGTGTCTCACTTCTCTAACTGAAGGGCTGGATGCATAGCTCGGGAGTAGATCACTTGTCTAGCATATGTAATGTTGTTTGAATCCCAGTACCAAACAAACAAATCAACAAACAAAAAATCATTGCTTCAATGGATTGTGACTCTACATATATGTGCTCTGACAGGCCCAGTACTAAGAGTACAGAACTTCCAAACACAGTAGAAAAAATAATAATAAAAAAGGTGGAAATAGCATCCAAAGTCTCTGCACCTTGGAATGTAACCAAAGCACTTCTTTAATAACATGACTGACTTTCAAATTCTGGTAAGAAGCCTGACTCCCCATTTGGTTATAGTAAACTCACCAACTAATAATGATATCTAGAAATTGAAAATTCTTTCCTATGGTAAGAATGCCACATGTCTGGCAGGTTACGTACCAGGTTAGGTCTGCTAAAGAAGATACAGACACAGGGAAAATAGTTGATAAACCATATTGTGTCTAATGAGAAGCAAGTGAAAAGCTTCTGATAATGTCATCCTCTGCAAGGATAAAAAGAGCATGGGCTTATACATTTCGAGGTAAGCAAAACTCACTTTGTCATTTGCATTCAATTTGCAATAGATATAAGCTATTCCCTATGAAGGGCAAGGCCAAAATGACACTTGTGAATTTTATTCCCTAGGTACTACCTGCAAGTTAACTGGGCTGTGTTGGCTATAGAGAGATGATAAGGTCTAAGGTCAGGACCCCAAACACACATTGTGCACAATAGTTTAACCCCAATGCTTTATGCTATTTGTGAACTTAATTCCAAAACTTAGTAAAATTAAAGAACCAGTGAACTGTGAAATAAAGCAGTGTGTTTGGCCTGGGGTGTGGAAATGGGCACTGGAGTGGACTAGTGCCTCAGTAGACTTGTCTCCCTCTAAATTCACGCATGACTTGGACAGGGTGTATCTTTTTCTTTGCTGAGCCTCTTCTGACAGCTGCACATGTTTCTTCTGGCTTCTCTTTCTTAATCAAGGGCTTTTTTGCTGGAGCCTTCATCCTCCACATGACAACGGGATGCCGGGGCCCCACAGAACTCTGGATGCGGATGATCTTGGTAGAAGCAATGTACGACATTTTCACTGTTTGCACTACAGCATTCATTAAATTTTTGGCTGCCTGGATCAGGGAGGTGACACTGTCCAACTGTAGGAAAGAATGAAGAGAAAAGCTACTATTTAAAATGCAGTTAGGAATGTACTGTTTGAGGATGTAGAAGCTGACAGTGACACTGTACTTTGACTAAGAAATGAATGAGCTAATTCTTATTTTACATTTTGAGATATAATCATTATGTCATCCCATCCTATTATTTTTAAAGGTTGATCTGATGCGCAAATGCATTCATGTTTTGTTTTTAATGTTTTATTGAAGAATAATTTCCTTTCTCTTTGTTTGCAAGAAGGTTACACACACATGTGCACACATCACAGTGCAAACATACACATACATCACTTTTTTTGAGAATTTATTTCCTTATTTTTATTTAAATTAAAAACAACCTTATTTTATATAACAATCCCAGTTCCTTCTCCCTCCCATTCTCCCATGCCCCACACTGACCGATAACCACACTTAAATGGGTCTTCTCTGTTTTAAGAAGTAAATGTTACTCTATTATAGAGCCTGGTAATATAGAAAGAATGGACTGTTCAAATGAAATTTAATTGAAGGTCCCCTTTTGACAACTGGGAGAAATGGTTTAATTATATCCATCAAATCAATTAATTCAGAAAAATATTTAGTAAAGATAAAGTAATACATATAAGAAATCAGTACATTTGCTGCCAAAAAGTTTGTTATAATTAAGTAGCATTACCTTTGCAACCTGTAAATACTGCTAAATTGCTTAATGACACAGATGTGCTCATAAAATTGCTAAAAATACCTTTTCCACAGCTGTTTTTGTTTGTTAAATGTCTGGGATGCTATTCATGTAAACAATCTCAAGAAAAATGTCATGGCATTCCTAGAATTTTTCAAAATACCTTAGAGCTAAGCCAAGTCGATTCATTTTTAAACAACCAGTGCTTTTTCAATTATTTTAGCTTGGCAGATTGTCATCTGCAGCCAACTCACATGGGGGATGTGTCTCTACTGTCACCCCTCTGTGATAGGAGCTGTCAGGGCTGGGGCTGAAAAGCTGACTCTGTGTAGTTACTGAAACTCATCAGCAGCTGCTGGTCGGTGTGTTCTACCTTGCTGCTCAACGAGCTTCACCTCACACACAGAATAAGTAAGTAGGACAGAGTGGGGAGCTGAGGTTATGTGCCTGGGGCTGTGGTCTAGCTGGCTGCTTCCTCACAAGAAAATTTAATTAGCTCCATAATTTGTCAAGCTCGTGATCCTTGAAATGGTAACACCAAAAATATATGATTTTAAGGACAGCAATATTTGGCAACTACACACACACACACACACACACACACACACGCCACATATATTTTCACATATATTATTTTACCTATGTATATATTTTACATATTAAAGAAAGAACAGTGAAACCTGTGTACAGGGCAAAAATGACAAATATTTGACAAACATTAAACAGTATTTTAAGTACTGTAAAGTGTTTTAGGAGAGGAACGTGTGTGTGTGTGTGTGTGTGTGTGTGTGTGTGTGCGCGTGCGCGTGCGTGCATATGTGCCCAGGCATGCATGTGTAGACACTGGTTGTCATCATCTCACTATACTATTCCCTCCATTATTCTCTGAGACAGGGTTTCTCACTGAATCTGAAACTTGGAGGACATGAGGTAGCTTCTGCATCGGCATACAGTCTTATAAAACTATTAATTTTTAAATAGAATATTAGGAGTGATTGTTAAACCTCCATAGATGGCACAATGGAATCTTTCATTTTTATAACTGTTTTCATTAAAAGCCTAGTGGCAGGGTTACTTTTTAAAAATTGTTGGACAGTGAGATACTTACCGCCCCTGTCCTTTCATCCTGCAAATATCACAAGCTTTTGCAAATGCATTTCGTTGCCTTCCAGAACATGATGATAAGACCCATTTGCTAAGACATGAAATGCTGGGTTAAAGAACAGGAAACACCAAGCTGGTGCTAACCTGGAAGCTTCATCCCACCTGGTTAACTTTCACGATGCCAGAAGTGCAGTGAGCACTACCAGAGGTTAGCAAATTGTGATCAATAATCTCACCCAGCCACAAACCTGGTGAGCTACAGGAATGACTGCTTGGGAAGATGTGTCCTCTGGTGACACAGTGGCACAGATTTTGTGAAATCCAATCAGAAAGATTTAAGGTTCACTCTGCATGAAACCCATACCTGGCATGATTATCAAACTAAGAAGCTAAGGCTAGACAGACCATAGACCATGAATGAAAACCTACTACTATTATTCTGCTAAATGGACATAGTATTAATTTGGTTCTTAATGACTTATATCTATTCCCATAGAGTAAACCACATCTCAGACCTCATCAGAGAAGTTTCCATTTGCAATAGATATTGAACATTGATAGTCATAACTGGTCATGGTGCAAAGAGTCATAGAATGCAAAATGATCAGTCCTGAAGAGAACATATATGTTGTACCCCCTCTTCCAAAGGCAAACAAGGGTATATAACTAGATAAAAGAGTCAAAGAAGTAGATGAGCACAATGAAATTATGGCTGCAGAATACAGCGGGGAGCTTCATGTATAAATTCACAGCTATTATAAAAGCACAAACAAGACCTATACAAGCCCAGGGCAGGAGCAAATTCCACTTGGAGAGGCAAGTTGTTCATGAGGTTCCTCCTCTTAGGAGCTGCTGGCAATCATTAGCTACCAAAAGAGGTGGCCAGTTTTGCTAAGAGTGTAGCTCCTGAGAAGTTAACTATGCTCCTACACAAGATCATACATCCACAAACGTGGGAAGCACAAATTGGCCTCAATGGGAGGAACAAGCAAACAGGATTCAGCAGGAATGAAGGTGGATCTAGGACAAGATGGAGAAGGGAGAGCGACTACGATTAAAATCTGATAAGTAAAACTCTCAAAGAACTATTAATAAAACAGCCCCTCTGGTGTTCAGTTAAGCATGGACAGTACTTTCCAAACCCAGAGCAGAGAAAAAACATATTTTTCCACTGAGTAAAATAGTATTTGAGGGTGCAGAGTAATGACAGCCCTCAAACATGAAACACTGGCTCTGAGCTATGGGTTCCACACCATCATAGATCCTTCTAGAAAAGGAGATCCTAGAGACCACCTGTCACTCAAGCTTAGCTTTTAACAGTGACTTTGACTTTACCACCCTCAACACTTGCATTTTCTTATTTTCCTTTTGACTTTATCATCTTACCATGGATAGACTACATAGGTTTCCTATCCCTTTGATTTACCCATGTACACAATATCTCTAGAAAGGCAGAGAAAGAAGGACGTTCAAGTTCAATCTAGGCCTCACAGTGTGGGGACTGGCTTGCTTTCCTTCTCCACTTAATCAGTGAGCCCCTACCTCTGCTATTATCATCTCTTAGCCTATTATCTGAAAAATTCTTTGACTTTAAAACTTCGAATGGTTATAGGAAAACCTTCTGTTCCACATGACTCAGAAACCACAGGACAAATTGTTCCCCCTGGAGAGCATGACGACTAGTTTTGCAGACAGCAGATTAGGACAATTTCTCAGAGAATCCAGTTATTTTATGAGAAAAACTTCCAGACCATGTTGAAGACTTTTCAGGTTTATGAACTATGTGTCCGGAGATGTTTACCTCTGAGCTACTAGCCAAATCATAAGCAATGGGCAATGCAAGCCTAGATAATGGTGGGAAATTTCATCAAGTACCCAAGCAGTGTCTATGGCCTAGTCACAGAGACAAAATTTGTACAACTGGATGCCTACAAAGCATTAGTAAAAGTCCCTTCTATTCAGATCTAATTTCATTAAATATATTTTCAAAGAAGGACTTAATAGAACTCCCTATGTAAAAGACAAAGGTAAATTCAAATGTGGTAATACATGGTTTTGGCATTCATAAGTCAAGTTATTGAAGAAAATGTCTTTCAAATAACCTGTGCAGTACAAGATTATTGACTCATTCTGAATGCCTATGAGAGTAAAGCAACCAGGCTTTACAATTCAAGTCTATGGGATCTCTATTATATAGCTCTTGCATTAACTGAAAATTCTGCTGGCAAATGTAACCTAAAATGTTTGCCACACAGAGGCTCTTCTTGCTGACATGTGCTAGCACTCACTCCCCTTTGAGCAGGATGGAGAACTGAGCAAGACATCACTTATGATCCTAAATGTCTACCCTATTTTCACACCTAACTGTACTATGTAAACATTGTACACACACACACACACACACACACACACACACACAGAGAGAGAGAGAGAGAGAGAGAGAGAGAGAGAGAGAGAGAGAGAGAGAGAGATTTTCTTGTTCATCATGCCAAAAAGGAGTAAGGATTTGAGTAATTTTCCAAGAGAACTCTACTCTGACCCAAGAAAGTCTTCTAACATGAATCAACTAGTGCCAGTTACCACAGTCAAAACGAATACTCCTGTGTTTTCTTTTGAATGTGGGACTTGTGCTTCTTCTTGCTAAACTGATGTGGTCTTCAAAATAACAGAGCACAACAGTTTATCAAAGTCCCCATCAATCAATAGTGTTCAAGCCAAGACAGAACTTGGAAGTCTTTCCTTTTAAAAATCTTGATGAATATTAAGGGATTATGTCTAATACCATCTTTTTCTGAATCCTGTCTTTAAAACACCCAAATAATGTACACCTACCAAGTCCTCATCAGTTTTATCTTCCTCTTACTACTGTATATTGTTAATGCTTTGTGGTATGTTCTACAAGGTTTCAATTAAACCATAATATGAATGTTACTGGTTCTGAGATGACTTCAGATTAAAGGTTTTCCTCTACTTGAAATTAAATCAAGAATACTTTACCATGACAAAAATATCTTCTTCCTCTGACTTGCCAAACTTCTGTCTATGTCACTAGCATATAAAATAGATGTTTATACAAAAGCTAATGTGTTGTGGTTTTAGTAAGAATGGCATCCAGAAACTTCTATATTTTAATGTTTATGTCATAGTGAGTAGAACTATATTTTGGGAAGAATCATGAGGTATGACCTTGTTGGAAAACATATGTCACTAGGGGTGT